GCAAGTTGATTCACTATGCATTGATTTGTAGTGTTGATGCCCCGGTAGAAAGTTTGTTGCAACATATTCTCCGTCATGTCATTGTTGGGGAATTCCTTCACCATAGTTCTATATCTCTCCCAAATCTCATGCAAAGGTTCTGTGGGCTCTTGCTTGAAGGCCAATATCTCATCTCGAAGTGCTTCCATGTGCCCGGGTGAGAAAAATTTAGCAATAAACATATTTTCCAACTCATCCCAAGTTGTGATGGAATGGTTGGGAAGTCTCTCGAGCCAATCTAATGCTTTCCCCCGAAGTGAGAATGGGAAAAGCCTCAACCTAAGAGCATCATCGGACACATTCGTCTGCTTGCTCCCCCAACATGTATCCACGAACCCCTTGAGATGTTTGTAGGCATTTTGATCCACAGCGCCCGTGAAATATCCACGCTGCTCAAGTGAGGTCAACATCACATTAGTTATCTGAAAATTGCCCGCTCGGATTCTTGGTGGGACAATAGCACTTGCATAGCCTTGGTTTGGGAGCACCCGAGGAATCGCTCTTGGAGGTGGTGGAGGAGGGTCTGGAACATTGTCATTTGCATTGGCTTGGCGGCCTCTACGTTGTCCTTGAGGTACAAGAGGCACCTCTTCTTCTCCAATCATCTACCTCCTCCCGCGCATTCACATTTCCAAGAGGGTCATTAGCATTTAAAGCCATTTTGGTACCTGAAGTATTGACACACACAAATTAGTAACAAGAAGGAAAGAAGAACACAACACAAATCTAGCTAAATAGATAGCCAAAACCTTTAGTCCCCCGGCAACGGCGCCAAAAAGTGATCGTGGCCTACTCCGGACTACTATTTAAGCAGCGAGAGAGGGTCGGAGCAGCTTTTACCCGATTTTGGGTCGGGATCGAATCCACAGAGAGCTAAAATTTGGAATCGAGTATATATCTAGTGTAGAATTGCGTATGTGTTCTTAATTGTACTTCTATTCATTTTTGGGGTTTTTGTTTACTTCTACTATTATCAAACTACAATTGGTAATTGCAACTAAATTATGCTAAGAGTTATAATGCTACAAGTTGTTCAAATAGGTTAAAAGGCACTAGGGTAGTGACTACCGCCTAAGTGGTCAATTGACGGGTACTTGAATCTAGAGCACGTTTGACATGTTTGGGGAATATGTTATAACCGTTGCACGACTTTACCCACTCTACACCTCTCGGTGGTTAGAGTGATTTTGCCCGAATTGGCTTTCTCAAGACCAATTAGGTATGCAAATTTGCACAAGCAACTAGGGTTCAATTCGGGTATTACTCTCTCGAGGTTTAACCCTTTAATAGGGGCTATCAATCTCTTGAGTACACCCCAATTCATTGTTGGACCAATTTCGGAGACTTAGGCTCTCTTTCTCAAGAAGAGCTCAAGTCAACTCAACACAAACTAGTGTTTGCAACCACTAATTCAGAAATTAACCATGAAATTGGCCCAAATAACAAACACCATAGTCAAATTAGCCCTAAAATACAAGAACCATCAATTACCCACACTAAGGTTGAGCCACAACCCTAGCTTATGGGTCTAGCTACTCATAATTAAAGAAGAAAAGCAAGAAATAGATGAAGACAAGCTCATATTAATTAATCACTAAGTTAAATACAAAGATTCAATGATTAAAAGTAGCTAAAATTGCCCAAAATGGCTTAGAAAGTGGAACCCACGAGTGCAGCTGCTTAATTACAATATCTGATACCCTAAAAATGGAAAAGAAGCTATTTATACTAGGCTGAAAAATCTGGACAAAAATGCCCCTGCGGGGTTAGTGCGGACCGCACAAAATGGACCGCGGTCCGCACTGGGGCTTTGGCCTTGAAAAACAACTCTCTGAATCTTGGCATTGCGGACCGCAGAGAATGGACTGCGGCCGCGGAGGCTTCTAGTGCGGTCCGCGTAAAATGGATCGCGGACCGCGGAGGCTTGAAACTCTGAAAATGGCAACTCTCTGATTCTCCTCACCGCGGATCGCAGAGAATGAACTCCGGCCGCGTTGATCTTAGTGCGGACCGCACTAAATGGTAGTGCGGCCGCACTGCCTCTTGGCCTGAAAATCACCTCTCTGAATCTCCTAGTGCGGACTGCACAAAGTGGTGTGCGGCCGCACTAGGCCTGTTTAGCCTAAGCTTGTCTTGTCTTTGGCACTTGCGCAAGTTTCACTCCGTTTGAGCTGATCTTTGACATCACGTCACTTTGATGATCAAACCTGCAATCAAGCACAACTTGTGAGCCTTTTGGGACTATTTTTGTATGAATTTCTAACCAAAGCATAAGCAAGAAGGAGTATAAAATGCGTCAAAATCCCTAGTTATCATGCTTCTCCATTATCGAGCAAATATACCTCGATACATGCTCGCATCGACCAGGAATCGCGGGGGGATTTTCAACTCTTAAGTATTTCTTTATAACACAAGGGCCGGGAATAATCTCGTGAAGGGCCGGCGCTTTATCACCGGCCAGCCGGGAACAGGAGGAGGAAGCTTTCGCCTTTTGAGGAACTGTTTTGGAAGTTTTAGCCATTGATTCGAGTTAGAGGAAGCAGAAATAGGCAGAGTTTGATATCTTTTGGCACTAAAAGGATGAGAGTAACAGGCAATGGGAGAGGAAGATGAAGAGGGGGAGAGATAAAGGAAGTTTGAAGATGATTTGAAGATGGAAGTAAAGTTTTTTATTCAAATTTGAGCCTTGTTTTATAGACAAACGGCGACTGTTCGACGGCCCTAGTGGCCGACCACCACTGGTGAAGTATTTAATATTTTGGGGAAGCGAACCGGCGGGACGTTTCGATCACCTCGAGCGCCTACGTCACGGGAATGGCGTCATCATCAAGGACTCTGGAGAATCGGGACTCAAGTCGTTTCTTATCATTTTATTCTAAGAAACGCGGGGACTATCTGTATACGGTCAAAATCATGTGTCCCCAATTTTGTAGGCTCGAAAGGTCGCGTCGAGAATAAGTTCAATATGGACAGGGCTCGAGCCCGATGGCAGAATACGAAACTCGAAGATCAAAGTGCTCGATGAACACCGGGGCCGAGTATGACCAACCTCGAGATAATGTTGTTATGGTTTTATAACAGAAAAAGCGAGATTCCCGCGGAGACCCTAAGATCACGGCGTAAATTCCAGAACGGATTTGTACTAGGCGGTTAGACAACTGCATAATAAGATTCCCTACTACAATTAGAATTGTACCTTATTTAGGATTTCCCTACTATATAAAGGGGACCCCAATCATTTGTAACACACGAATCATTGACAAGAGAATATACTTACATTACTTTCTTGCTTATTGTTCATCTGAATCATCTCATTGTTATTTTATTGTCCTTGTTCATCTACCTCGAGGTCACCTTAGCCCGAGGTCGAGACTAGCTTATATATCGGTTTTATTTATCTCACTCTTTAATTTATACACTTGATTCCTTGTTTATCAGTTAGTATTGGATTAAATCACTTATCTTTAAAACCACAAAATAAATATTACTCGGATTTTAGGGTAAACAAGAATTACAATATAATAGAGTTTATGATGGAGTTTTTGCTCAAGATTCAATTTTTTAAATATCAATTATCAATTTGTTAGTTTAAGTGTATTATCAATTTGTGGGAATTGGTTCTTAATAATCAACAGAAGGGAACATATAGAGCAGTAAAAAGGACACAAGCAAGGGGGTCGTCGGAAAAACGTAGATCCGGCCAGACTCATGAAAAACAGTCCATAAATATGACGCAAAAGCATATCTTCGCTCAAATTTGGATATATCTAAAGTCTCTATCTAAAGTCGATTGATTACACGTGCCATTTTTTGATTGGTCCATTTGATATGTCATTGGCAAGTGCAACTCACGCATATACTCTACTGTACTCAGGTGCTTATTGACATACTTAATAGTCACTTGAAGTGTTAAAATAAAAAATAGCTCGATTGAGATATTTAGTTGATCGTTGAGGATAACTGAACGAGGGCGTTTATGTATTTCGCCTTTCTATAATTAGTACGTACACTTTGTAAGGACTTAGGAGTATGAGTATCTCAAAAGATATATTGGTTCAGATGGTCACACTTACAATCAATGCACAGGCCAGTTAAGTTTAATAAGGAATGTGTACTCAATTTGTCCAATTCGATTTTGAATAACTTCAATGAAAATATATAAGTTGTCCATTAAATTGTGTACAGAAAATTATTTAAATATTGAAACTTCACGAGCTACCTATTACCTCCCATGCTTATTTTAAGTGAAATTAATATTACCATAAAATAAATAATATCAGTTTCATAGTTAGGTGATACACACGCGAGACATGTTAGAGCCATGTCAACGATGCATCAAATATCAATAAATCTTACTTTCTTTTCTTCCACTACATAAAAAAAAAGGTTTAGGTCCTTATTTTCATTGTTAATCCATTATTCCACCTGTTGCCAAACCAATTTCAACCTCTTAATATTTGTAAAAAAGGTGCGGGTTGGCCACTTATTGGTCATCCTTTTTATGTTGAACCATTAGTTGAAATGTAGTTAAACTTTAGTCAGTTTTAATTACAAATACTTTTCATCTTCTCCGTTTGAAAGTGATAGATCCGCTTCTCATATTCTCATATTTTTCATGGAGTTTTGAATTCTTTGTATTTCAAGTAAATTTATCTTTCCACCTCAACATTTTCTAATTTAATCATTTGACTCAATTGTCATTGAAAAAATTTCGTTGCATAGTTCACAATCATGTAGAAAATCATAAAATGACTAATGTTGAGCTTTCTGAAGCCATGCCCTAGTTAGAGAATCATCACTCAATTACTAGAGCTAGAGTTCGTAATATAATTGGCGGAGTTAAATTACTCAACTTTTGCAAATTAAAGGACCAAAACTGTTCAAGTGTATTCTTGAGGGATTATTTTAAACCTAAGCCAAACATAAGAGACTATTTTTCTCATTTTTCCGCAAAAGAATTTCTAGAAAATAAGTAATTTTCTGAATTTTCACCAAAAGCACGCACGAAACGCAGCCGAGCAACAACTGAAAGTGAGGCTTCTTCAGCTTCAGCTCGACTATGAATCCAATTCTTCAAACGTGAAAAAAATAAAGCTGCTAATCATTTCACGCTTTCTGGATATAATATTGGAAACTGAAACTTGATTACCTAAGATGAAGAAGCTTCTAGAATTTGGGAGGAGAGCAATGTTCTATATTAGGGTTCTTTCAGGCTACGAAGAGCGTCGAATCCGATCTTATCGGTTACAGATGCAACAGCGCCTTCAACAGGTCATTTCTCAATTTTAAATTTCAAATTTCTTATTGCTAAATCTGGTTCTCTGTTGAATTACATAAGCGGTTGTGTATTGTTACGTTCAGATGTCATATATTTTTATATTTCCGACGATAATTTCGTATCGGAATGAAATGCACCTAAATATAGTGGAATCTATACAGAGGAATCGTATTGCTGACTTTAATTAATTGGGATCGAGGTGTAGTTGACTAACTGCGATCTTTGGTTTGAGCAGACTGTATCAGCATTTTGTTATCAGTCCAAGCTGTAACTTTTTGAAAATGTTAAGTTGGATTGGAAAAAAACAAAGCTTTAACGGAAAAAAGAAAAAGAAATGTAGAAGTTTCTGCTATTTGTTGCATTATATGGTTAATTAAGGGGGTTAGTCACATAAAAGTAATCTCTTTTTGTTTGGGGCAGACTGTTTAATGTTCTGACACAAGTTAGTGTTGTGTGTGGTTTTTTTTTTAGTACTTGATGCCATAATAAGGATGTGATCTTATCTGTTGTGATAAGCTGTCAACAACTAGCTTTATTTGGTGTGATACATCCAATTTAAATCACCAATGCAGTCATGGTACCCTTTTCGATCCATGTCCAGTTCGTGCTTATATTTGTGTATCGCATATATATATGTAGTTTATGCAAACTGAATGTTTAGCATCTTTAAAGCTTGTATGCATATTTTCGACTATTGGGTCAGAGATGTTGAGGCACTGTTTGTTATAGCATTCCAGGTGGCAAAAATTTGATGCAAATATCTGTTATTCCAGGTGACAAGCTTCATTTTCTGTTAAGCATCTAGGTTCTTTTGATGTGGGGTCTTTTCCAAATGCTGTATGAAAGCAATTTTCTAGAGAAACGATCTGCTAGTTATTAACATGTAAATTAACTAGTATTGGTTTAATAGCAACTCGAGCCCAGGCACCACTGTTATCAAAATATATAAAGCATGTAAAAAATTAAATATAGCAACTTAAGCAGTTAACTTATATTCCGCCTCCCCCACCAAGCACAACGCAAACACAGACGCCAAAATTTAAAGGAGTGCTGCTGATCCCTGTAGCTACAAACTGGTTTGCCCCTTGATGATACCTTGGGCTTATATTCTCTTTGCCAAAACCCTCTACTTGTCAATATAAAAGAACTGTGCATGTGCCTGTGGCTTGGACATTTAGATAATTTCTTGGGTATACAACTACTAAGGAGAGACCATGAAGAAAGTCGATAGATTTAAAAGGTTTAATGGATAGATTGGAAGTAGTGCTTGCCATTCGGTTCTACACTCTTAATCTTTTATCTCTATCTCTTCGTTTGTGATGTCTGAACAGGCGGAGGAGAGGAAGGCAGCAATAAGGAAGGTTCCTGAACAAATGATATTGTCAGAAGTTAGGCGCATGGTGGAAGAGATGCAAGCTTTGAATAAGAAGCTAGAGGAGACTGTGAGTTCACAATTTTCTTGAATTTTACCCTGTTGTTAACTTGCTTCCATTGAAGACTTTTGTTTATATTCCTGTTTAATTCAGAAGCATGCTGATGAACTATTACTTGGTGGTCCTGAGTATAATTCTTTAATGATGTCCTGCTCTTCTGGGTATTGCTTGTTTAATTTGCAAAGGAGGTAGTGTTAGGTCAACTTTGAAGAGGATGTCGGATCTATTCCACAAAACTATAAAGCTATCCTAATGAGCAATTGGCCTAATATCTGCGACCATGCTTATTTTACCTTAATACGAATTTGCTTTTCGGAGTATATAACAAGCTTAATACATCTTGAAAACTAGCTTGGGAGGAAGTCTTAGCAATTAACAGCTGAGAAAATCTGACTTCTGTGCTCACGGATCACTTTCAGTAGAACTCATTGAGAGGCTCTGAGACCTTGTTTCTGCCTGTGCTCTAAATACAAACTAGTCATGCTAATAGATATTGAGCCTTGGGAGTTGGGATTGTCGTTTGCCATGGGTCCTTAACAAATAAAAACTTTTTTAAGCAAGAAACAGGATTCTGAAAGGTGCTTTTGGAAATTGGAAGTTGGTATAACAATCAGAAATTTATTGAGTAAATAAATTGAGTGGAAAACTATTCTGAAAATTGAAAGCACCTTAAGATCCAAGGATATGGCCTAATGGTCAATAAAGTAGGATGAAAACCGTTGACTATCAATCCCAGCAAAGGTAAGAAAGGCTAGGTGATATCTTCCCATCTGCCTAAGACTTGATGGGCAAAGTTATTAGGTACCTATAGTGATAGGACTTAGAACATAGTAAGTACCCGGTGGAATAGTCAAGGTGGAGGAAAGTTGACCCAGACACCACCGTTATTACAAAGAAGAAATGGAAAACATGAAAGAACCTTGCCTAATATATAATGTAATGCTGCTTCCATGTCTCTTATAGCCTGTTTGTCTAAGCTTCTAAAATCAGCTTATTTTGAAAGTGCTTTTTCAAAAGGTACTTTTGGTTGGAAGCAGTTTGTGTTTGACTAATTAATGTGAAAAGCACTTTTGAGCAACAATTAGTGTTTGGCAAGCTTTTAAAAAGCGTTCCAAGTGTATTTTTCTCAAAAGTGTTTTTCAGAAAAGTGTTTTTGGAAGAAGCTACTTTTTTTTATTCTCAGAAAAGGGTAGCTATCCGAGCCTTCCCTTGATTGTGCCTTTAGGCTTTCTTCTTGCTGCTTTGTTTGCGCTTTTGAATCCGCTTCTGTAAAGAAAGGAGAAGAGAGAGCTTTTGACAAAATAAAGGACTCCATTCTAGTGCGTACAACGCCAGGTCCTTTATTACTATACCTATCAGTGAAACCACTATGGAGTCTATGTTGGCTTAATACGATGAAGACGTCAAGAACTAAAAAGACTGAGCTGAGGGAAGCCTGTCCAAAGAAAACAGAACCTCTTCTAGTTCAAGGTTGAAATCCTCAAACCAATCAAATTTCTAATTCACTATTCTTGTGAAGTTTCTTCTGCATCTACTCAAAAATATTATTTTTCTTTCTAAAAGCTTGGTCAAACACCTTAACTTTGAAAGAAGCATTTTTTGCCTAAAAAAGCACTTTTGGCGAAATTTTTTTTTTTGGGCCAAACAGGCTATTAGTCTTCAGTCTAGTCGAGTTCCAAAAAATGAATCCCTTTGGCTAAGTTTCCGGGTCCCAAACTATCAGTTCTTTCTCTCTTCTGTCCTCTCCAAAACCTTCCTCATGCTGTCCTACTCTATGCCACGCTCTCTAGAAGCTGTTTCTTTCCAGCCTCCTCACAACTATTTTCCTTTTTCTTAACTTTCACTCCTCTAGATGTTGCTCTTTTCAGAGAGTTTAGATTCCTTTGCCTCCCTTTCCTTCTGGCACAGACAGAGGCAACTCGAATGAATTTCACAAAATAAAAAGGTTCTACTTTCAGAGTACAGAGTGGGATTCAAAACATTGTTTTCTCGGACCACAAGACTCCATATTTTAAGGCTGAATTTGTACTTCCAACTCTAGGAAAAAGAAAGTGGAATGCAATGCAAATAAGCCAACTGGCTGGATGACTAATCAGCTCTGTCTTTCTCTGTTTTTTTTCAATCAGCTTTGACTTAGGTTTCAACCTAGACTAACTTGTGGCTTTCGGCTGCATTTGAAGTTTTTACCTTGCTCTAAGAACTCTTGAATTTAGATGAGTTTGTAAATCAACTATTCCTCTTCTGCACATCATATAACATGACTTTGGATGAAAATTGTAGATAACCTAGATATCAAACTTACATATTCCAAACCTTAGATTTTGAATGAAAACCTGATTTCTCTGTCCCAATTTGTGCTTGTTAATTGCCCAAAATCCTGATTCACAAGGAAACCTCCTGCATACATGTCATCTTTAATTGAATTTAGGCAGTATTTTTTATTTTGAAGAGATTGAACTTGAGAAATTGCTGGTATTTGGCAGTACACTCGAGCCAAGAATCTTGAACCAACTTGTTCATGTCCTTGATAGGTCTAAGCTGTTTTTTACACGATTGTACTGCTAAAACCTTCAAGCCCCTACTTTCTCCTGAAAAAAAGAAAAAAAATTCAAGCCCTTCCTCATTAAATTCGTGCTTATGCTATTTAGCTGTCTCTGGTGCATTCGTAAATCCTAGCGACTGGATTTTCCGCTGTGCTGCTTCATCAATGTCACCTTGATCTTCAATTTGCTACTCCAGTGACTTCCTATAGTTTTTGTCTGACCTTTAATTTAATGACTGACATGTTTCCATTTTCAATAGTACCCAACAGTGTTCTCGATTACTCTGTCTGTTTCTCCATATATCTTTTGTACAAGCTGGCTTTTCGTCATTTTGTCATCTGCTTCATTCACTTGTTGTATTATGACATCAAGGTGTTAGGAACTTATTACAGAGTAGGGTTGGCTTCAAAGTCCCCTGCTATTACTGTTACTGATGTCATGCGCCCCTCCTGGTGTTACGGCTGATCTTCTGACCTGGACTCATTGCTTGAAAAAATGGGTGAATGTTTTCAGGAGGCTGCTATTGATGACTACTTCAAACCAATAAACAAGGAAGCAGAAGCAATAGTGAAAATGCAGCTTGAAGGAGAGGAGAATAGAACAAAGGAGATGATGAATATCTTGCAGAAACAAGCTTTTCTTGAGAAGCATCAGGCAGAGAAATTAATAAGCGCAGAAAATGTGGTAACAGAAAAACATGGCCAAGATAAAGCATCTACATAGATTCCACCAGAAGTAAGATGCTTTTGTAGAGTATAAAGTTGTTCTTGAAATTGAAGAGTACGAATTTATGTTGTTTTGCCTCTTAGATGTGGCATGGTTTTGGCAATCCAAAAAGGGAGGAGGATCTGCCCTTCCAAAGCTTCTGATAAATTTGGAACAAGTAGGGAAGCAGGAATCAATAAAACATTTACCTTCTCAAAAAAAGTAGGGAAGCAGGAATTAGTTTGTTTATTTCAGTTGCCAGTGATGATTTCTGTTGTAATTTATACATTGTCTCAATGGGATTTTCTCGTTCCCAGCATAGAGTGTCAATGGTTCCAGTAAAAAGCCATGTCACATTCAGCTTCAGCGAAGCTTTGTATCTGATGAGTTTGTTACAGAAAACAGAAGGAAAATTTTGGAATATGTCGATTATAATACAGGTTTTTAAGGATCTTTCGAGGTATTAAAGTCTACAATTCATGAGAAAACAACTCAATCTCATACATGCAAAGATGATGTACTGCTTATTTACTGGAAGCATGACATTGCATCAAAATATTCTTTCTTAAGATATTACATACATTTCAAGTTGGATGCTTCAGACATCTCATTACCTTTGTTGATCCTTTGCAACTCAATTGGAAAAGCGAGAGCTAATATCGATCGCACGCCTTATTATCAAGGAAAAGCTAGAGTTCAAACCAGAAAAAAGTTTGTTCACCATCACTAGTCTCGAGTATATGTATAACATATAAATAGTGATTGCTGATAGCCATTTTGTTGATGACCTAATTAAAATGAGAACCAATGTAGTGCCATGAGTGGGACCATTATTTAATGATCTCTTAGGAGGAGATCTGACGGTCAAAAATGTGGATGTGAACACCAATAACTAAATCACAAGTTGCACCAAATCAAGCTCCTTCAAGGTAGAAAACCTACTGCAGATAAAATAAAGTAATCAACATCATGTCATCACTCATCACAAAGCATATAAGTATATAAATATGTTTGTTTGATAAAAAGGTTCAAACAAACTCTCTTTGTTTCTTTCTCCTCTTTTATTGTTTTCTTGCCTTTACTTTTCTATTCCTTTTAATTTCTTATACCTTGCTTTTCTAAACCATAAATAATAAACTTAAAAATACTTGATCCTTACTTTAAGAGAAATTACTAGCAAGAGAATACAAAAAATAAAAGGGCAATTTTCTTTTTGGAAGAGTTTGCAGGGTGAGGGTTGAAAAAAAATCACATGTTAGTAGTAGTTATCAGGAATAACATATAGTCAACAAGGACATAAGCAATAATATTCTTCAAACTCATAAAGTCCATTTAAATATTAAAAAAGAAAATAAGTTTCATTTTAATTTCAATAAATAAAGAGGGAATTGAATTTTTCACAAAGATTTAATACCAAAGAAGGAAAAAAGAAATAGCAAAGAAAGCCAAAACATATTATTAACTTCATTTACAAATTACATAACAACAAGAAAAGGTCACACAGAAACACAACACCCTCATTTCCGTTCACATTTCACCTTCCTTTCCTAAATGTTTATAAAATTCCTTCAAATTCCAGTAGTCTTTTCTTTTCTTCATTGGATTGTACAAATTCTCAGCTGAAAAAAAAAACCCATCTTTAATCCCTTCATTACTTGTTCATAACTTTTGCTATTTTCAGTGGTTTTTTGTGGAACTTTTTATATACAGACTTTTCTTGGTCTTGTTGGGTTTTTGGTGTTTCCTGCACAAATTTCTTTGGGTCCATTGCAGAGAAGCTTTGATACCCAGTAACATATATACAAAATATAAATGACTGAAAAGTATAATTGAACAGATATTTATATTATATAAATATTTTTCATTTTCTAAAGAAAACGAAAGCAGAAATACTTTGAAATTTCATTTTTCTTGAATTGCACAGATGGGAAAGGAAGGACCTTGCTATCACTGTGGTGTTACAAGTGAGTTCTTGTTTCTTCAATGTATTTTACTTTACCCATGAAAAAATAGTCTTTTTCAGCTAATAGAATTGTTCCTTATTTTTCCCACTCTGTAAATACTCTTATTTGATTAGTTTAGTTGTTCAATTATGGAACTGGATAACCATTTGCTGGTTGCTTTATAAAACAAGAGATCACTGACCAATAAAAAATGATGAGTAATATGTGTTGTTATTCATTTTAATATTTGTTAAGAGGTTGTTTTGCTTGTACATTCACTTAAATCTCTAGATTTGTATACTGTGTTTGAGTTGGAATTCCTTTCCTTTTTCCTCATCACTATGTTATGTACTAGCCAATTTATCAACTCTTTTGTGGAAAATATGTTTGCTCAAATCTTGCAAATAGTCTAACAGCAAGTAGGCAATTTTGGAGCTCAATTTGAATCCCTTTGAACCAATGCAATTGGGGGATGTTTCCAAACTTTTTTCCTGTACTTCTTTTCCTTGTTCCCTTTCTAAATGTAAAAATGTACTTCCTCAGGCGTTCCTTTTCGTGCCAACTGATCTCTTGCTCTTTGGTATTATAGTTCCCTGAGTCATGAATATAGCATAAAAATGCCTACCAATGATGACTGGTCTCTTACAAAGTTCATGTTCCTGGTCTTTATAATTGAAGAGTGATATATGTGGCTTGATTCCTCCTCATTCATATTCTCATTCAAGCTCAGGATTCACAATGCTGGTGATGTAACACATTCTTAATTAGTGTTCTCTGATCAATGGCTTGTAGTGTTCTCTTGTGTTTTCTTTACCTCGGTGTTATCTTGACCGTCTTTAACATTGAAAACGTGGCCTCGTGTTGACAAATCTTTGCATTGACAAACTTCAGATATTTTCTCAACAACCAAAACCAATCAATCTATCAATCAACTACTACAGATAACTAGTTGCAATTGGCAATATGAATATTCTATATCCATTTGTTCTACTCAGACACAACACACACAAATGTAATAAATTTGTATGCTTCATTTAGTGATATCTTCTTGAAATCCTATCTCGTCTTTTGCTGCATAACCTACTGCGTTTGGAACTGTCAGAATTGAGCTTATCTAGAAAAGACTTGTTAAGTTTGGCTTTCCTCTCCAGTGTTGGTGCTACTTAAAGTAGTCGTTGACATTGGGAAAAGCTTTTTTTTAGCTTGTACTCAATCTATGTAACATATGCTCAGCAAGCTGAGGTGAGAAACTGATTGGGTTGCCTATAGCTGTGTCTTCGGCTTGGGATTTACCGCAAGTTCTTACTGATATCATATTTTTCTGTTAGTAAATATGATGTCTCCAAGAAAATACTTTTAAGAGTCCATGCAATGCCATGCCTTTTGATGTGCAAATTCAATCCAGTTCTTTCCTCCTTAGTATGGTGTTCTAGTCTTGGCTTAGTTGTTTGTCTTGTTGTACCGTGAAGAATTTCTGTAGTTCACTTCTGATGCAACAATTTATGTTCTTTATCCTTTTGTTGTTTTTTCTTCTAAAAGTCCACGGAAGTAGCTGCTAGTATTAATTTTACCTTGAACTACTTGAAAAAGAAAGCTTGTATATCATTCCATAAATTTGCACTCTAAGTGACTAGCGGCACATTGCAGTACCCAACTATACCGCCTGTACTGCTCTCTGTTTTCTGAGAAGGACATCCAATTCAGTCTTCCGTCATTATCTACTTGGGAAACACTTCTAACATCAACATATCGCTGCAGGTACCCCACTTTGGCGTAATGGGCCTCCAGAGAAGCCAATATTGTGCAATGCATGTGGATCTCGGTGGAGAACAAAAGGAACCTTGGCAAATTATACTCCTCTGCATGCAAGGGCAGAGCCTGATGATCTTGAGGATTATAGGGTGTCTAGAGTCAAACACATGTCTTTGAAAAACAAAGAGCCAAAGCTGCTGAAACGAAAGCAAAATCATGATAATACTGAAGTTAGAACTCCTCCTGATTATAATCAGGGTTTCCTTAAGGGTTTAGATGAAGATACAAGCAATAGGTCAAGTTCTGGTTCTGCCATCTCAAACACGGAGAGCTGTGCACAATTTGGTAGTACTGAAGCAAGTGATTTGACAGGTAGTTCATTTATAAATGCCGGCACTGTTTACAGAAAAGCCAATAAACTATAAAGGCTTGATTTTGGAATGAGTTTGATTCTTTATGATGTAGATATGTGCCTGTATACCTTTTCTTGTTAGCTGTTATGAAAAATTCTATAGGCAGTCATTTTTGGTGATGCTCATAATTTCTGTTCTACTTCTTTTAGTTGGATTGCCAATATTACCCTCAGGGTAAATATACCTTCTTTTGTAGTATGGCTGCATTTTCTGAAATTGAAACTTTAGTGGTAAAATCTAAGACCTTTCTCTTTTCGTTACATTTTAAAAAAAATCTAGTCATTTATCTTCTCCTTTCTGTCAAATCACAGAAGTTACTTCGAATATTATCCTGTTCCCTACTGCATGTCCAATATACATTCTCTAGCCTTCTCCTTTGTGTTCTTTAAGGTATGCGTACACACTACCCACCCCCGACCCCACCTTGTGGGATTACATTGGGTTTATTGAGTTCTTTTCTGTTCTTTGTTTATTCTCGATACTTTTCTTGTGCATTCTAACCTTCACTATGTACTTGAAGCACAAAAGCTCAGTGAATTCTTGCATAATTGGGTGATTTCAATGGCTGCTTAAAATACGTTCCCCTTAATTTTGCGATCAGGCCATGCCCAATCCAACATATGGGACACAACGGTGCCTTCAAGGAAGAGAACCTGCATAAGTCGTCCAAAGCAGTCTTCAGTTGAAAAACTTACTAAAGACCTGTATACCATCCTACACGAACAACAATCGTCATGCTTCTCTGGATCTTCTGAAGAGGATTTGCTTTTTGCTAGTGACAAGCCTATGGTCTCTGTTGAGATAGGACATGGAAGTGTGCTTATTCGACATCCGAACTCCATAGGTAGAGATGAAGAATCAGAAGTCAGCTCTCTATCGGTTGATAACAAGCGACATTATAAGGCTTATTCACGATTTTCTACCCCACCTGCAAATATTAACAAGGGTGTCTATTTACCAAATCTGGGTACTGAGAGAATCAAGAAGCCTACTAGTCAGGGAATGGAACAAGACAAGATTAAAAGGTGATTTCTTCATTAATCTTGATAGCATGCAAAAATGTCTTGGTAAATAAAGGTGGTGGTGCATGTGTTAGACCAGAAGAAAATGGATATGAGGTGTTAAATGCATGAATATCCTGCTAACGTTAGATGTGATCCGTCTGCACAAAAAGAATCAATATGCATCAGGAAGATAACATAAATCGAACCAACAGATGCTCTGCACCACATGATACTTCAGTGCAAATGCTAATTGTGCAGTAAGCTTGTGGTGGCATTACATACAATAATTCGATAATTCCAACAGCTTTAAACCCTGTTCTTTACCTTGATTTATGCTTTCC